GTTGCTGCAGCACCAGCCTCTCTGTGACGCACAGTCCTCTGTTTTTCTTGCTGAAATTCTTGGTCGCTCGTAATGCTCCTTCCCCCGTTTTACCCATTTTCTAGCCTCTTTTCCACCTTATTCTTCTCTCATTTTATCTCCATTTCATTCCCACTTCCATGATCAACTCTTCACTCCAAGCTTCGAACAACGTTGTTTTTCTCCAAACTATCCAAACTACAAAACAACACAAACACACATATCAATACGCTCTAAAGTGCTCAAAAATAAATCAAAAACCATGATTTAGAGGTGCTAGGTCGATGAGTGTATCACACTCATCAATCTCAAAGTTTAATGGTGACATCATCAATTTCGTTAGAGGTTTGAGACGAAAGTTATGCTAGTGAATAACATAAAACATTTTTCAAAGTTCAGTAGTCAAACTCAATACTTTAAACTCTAGTGAGCAATTTAAGACATAGACATAAATTCAGTAACCCAAACTCGACTTTTTAAACTTTAGTAAGCAATTGAAAATATAGACATAAGTTTAGTGACAATTGGAACAATTTAACTCTAAAAAACTGGGCTAGTCTGCAACTAACTGATAAGGAACAATTAGTCCCTTGTAAAGGGGAAATTGCCAGAGACAATTTACAGGGGCTATCATTCAATTTTTCGAGTACTAACTAATAAGACTAAGCCCCTTGTACTGAGAAAATTGTTCGGACAATTTACGGGGATTGAAATGACAGCCCTTGAAATTGGCAATTTTTTCTTCCTTTCTTTTTTCAACGGCCAATTAAAATTGGCCAAGTGTGTGTTTGTAACCTCAGTATTTCTCCCTGGCAATGTAGCACAGTTCAACTGATAATTGGTAGGATTCTATGATTTGAGATTAGTCCTTTGGCCAAGTGTGTGTTTGTAACCTCAGTATTTCTCCCTGGCAATGTAGCACAGTTCAACTGATAATTGGTAGGATTCTATGATTTGAGATTAGTCCTTACAAGAATAGACAAACCAATAGTTTGACTAATTTAATTAATTGAAAGCCTAACTATACTATGTTGAACAAAATTTGATTCATTGATTCTTCTTCGAAAAGTGAGGATTTTCACCCGAAATACACTATGTTGATCTAACTTTAGGTCACTGAAAAAGACGTGTCTATAATATCTTCAAGCCTAGAATTATGACTAAGAGCAATGAATGTCCAATTTTGTAGGTTCCATCAATTTACCACGACGTGCAATGTTCTATTAACTTCGTTGGGCATTTGAGTTCACTTTTAGTACAAGTAGCATGGTGTTAAATTGAAGAAGTTACAGAGTTGGCGAAAGAACAAAAATGCAACTGATGTACACTTTTTTCAGAGCCCTCTCACAAAATGTGAGTCCCACAATTATTTTAATTGCAGGTCTCATCACTGAATGTGAGAGGGTTGTCACCAGTGCTATCAATAGCACTATCCCTATTGCATTACTCGCAAAAGAAATACTAGTGCGTCACTTGCATAAAAATTAAATTGTTGTGATATTGAGAATATATTATCCAAATGTTAATGACATAATTGGATACTTTTCAAATGTCGACGTTGCAGACATCAAATGATGCAAATAATTAAAATATGTGTCAACTTTAATTAAAATGTACTCAAACCCATTAAAATATATATAAATGATGGTTATATGACCACCAACCTAATTATTGACATATATCTAAATTATAGTGATGCAAATATGCTTGCAATTAGGGGTGTCAATGTCAAGCATGCCTAATTGGACCTATTGACACCATGTCCGTATTCGGTTCGTGCTACGGACTGACTCTTTTTTCCATAGCCGAGTCTCATCCAGCCTATTAGCCATATATCTTCCTTTAAAAAAAACAAATAAAAATTCAGATTTTTTAAAATAGAAAAAATCTTGAGATTTTAACAGGTTGCGAAAAAGTAAAAGAAAATCATATTTTGAAATAATAAAACCAACAAATGACTGTATAGTATTAAAAAAAATGAGGAAACTGCAAAAAAGTCCACTTTCACATTATCGTTTGCAAAAAATCCCCAATTTGTTCCATTTGCGAATTTATCCATTTTGCTAAAATTTAAATCAAAATGTCCTTAGCCTATGTTTGTCTACCGTTAAAGTAGGAAAATGAATTTTTGAATAATGAATTTTTGAATAATGTGTGGTTAAAATGTAAAAAAATATAAAAATTAAAAAAAATGGTTTACATGGAAAATACTTTTATTATGAGAATATATGATCGAAAATAAGTATAAAAAAAAAAACTTTTGAAATACTGGTAGACAAACAAGGATGTAGTAACAATTTTCAAATTTCACCATAAAAAGACGGAATTTTCATTATGAATTAAAAATTGATTTGGCAAATAAAATATTGACACATAAGCTATAAGCTTGATACATAACTTGTACTAGATATTTGAAAAGGTAGCAATATCAATCCATGCATTAAGAGCATATTTGATGGAGATATTAATTCAATTAACATTAATTTTTTGATCGTTATTTTACTATTTTAATCATCATTTTTGAATTCTTCTCTCACAGGTAAAACCCATTTTATGTCTAATGGTTAAAAAATCAATTAATAAAATCTCTATCAAACAAGCACTAAATGTTAACTTCTCCCAATTTGAAAACCTCATTTTTGACAGATAAAATGTCAAGTATCGAGACGTTTAGAGATCAAATGTCAAGAATTAGGTTTCAAAAATTAAGAATCCAATGAAATGTAGAAAAAAAACGAAAACTGATCTCCAGCTAGTTCACCTTGTTTCGTGCGTGCAAATGGGAGATGCACGACATTAGATGTAGTCTTTACAACAAATTTAACATTAGATTTGTGAAAAATAGTTTTCAGTTCTTCATGTCTTAATTGTATAGAACTTATTATTTTTCATAATAATAAATTTTCATAGTAGTAAGTTTAGCATTAACTAACACGAATGTAATATTTAATAGAATCAAAATTTTAGCATTAATTGACAACAGAAATGTTCTTCTGCCCACAATAGAAAGTTTTATCCTGTCCGTTTAGAGAGAACCGTACTTCTAGTTCTCTCATTTGAAAAGAATTGTAAATAAGATTCTTCTGCTACATCAACAAGCGACCAGTCTTAATCTCCAACCACATTGGCAAGTGGGTAATTTTATCTTGGCACTGTGGGCAGAAGAACAATTTCGCAATAAAAAATGTTCTCTTACTCACAGTAGGATGTCTTATCTTGCTCACTTTGATAGCATTTAGAGAAAAAATCATGGGTAAGGTTCTCCTTCTTACAGTGGAAAGTCTTATTTTAACAATTTTATGATATATGAAATACTTAAAGAAGTGTATTCAAGTGACAAAAAATACTTCACAAACCTAGGTTGCAACCCAAATGAAATGGCAATTAAAAGAAATTGGTGGGTATCCATTTAGTGCAACTTATATCACATTTTACCTCTTTATTGGATTGTGGAGAATCGAATCAACTCGTAAATTTATTCTTTTATTTTCCTTAAAATGAAAATATTTGCTTTTCTACTTTATTGGGTCACACATATAATTTTTTTTTTTCACAATGCAATAATGCTAAATCATATTTGGTATCATCTTCCTTTTTTTTCCATCTTCAATTGGTCACATTACCTATTAGATGGTGCAAGAAATCGAACAAATGGGCAGTAACATGTACATCATGTTAGCTTATCATGGAAGCAAATTCATTGCCTCGAGGACTGTGCTCAATCAAATAAAAAAATCTTATTTTTCCTTCATTAAGGGTATAACGGATAATTTGATACCAATTTTGATCATTTTTCTAAGGGTAATTATACTCATATCACATTTTTTGTTTTAATGGATTTTGCTACTTGTACATAAAAAATATACATAATATAATATGGAGGGAAAAGATTAGATACAAAAAGTTAATTGTGTTTTAAATATGCAAATGGCAAATTGTCACGTGACATTATATAATCCATTATGTAAACTCTTATGTACATGTAGCAAGATAATTTTTTTATTTCTTGCACGCAATTTAATAACACTAATAAATTTTAATCTTTGCTCATTATAATAATTTGCACTAGTTCCAATTCGAATCCACTCAGAACCACTGAAGTGAGTATCCGACTGTAAATTTCAGGGTTCCGTGGAATTAGTTGAAATGCGCGTAAGCTGACCCGGATACTCATGGTTATAAAAAATAAATAAATTAACTTGCATTAGTTAAAACATTATGTATTTGATAACAGTTTTAGAACAATGCTGTAGGAATATAGTTTTTTTTTTTACAGAAAAATCTTACGGACAACACATGGCGTGACATCATTAAAAGGTGAAAAAAAGAGAAAAGACTGTCCAATCATATTTTGTCATATCAGTGTCGATACAAGTGTTGTTAAAAAAAATTTGTACTCATGGCTTTATTGATTGTTTTATATCTAAAAGTATGTTGAAATTGTGTAAAATAACTTATTTTTAATCATATTTTCAAAATAATAATAAAAAGAAGAAGTGCAAAAGTATATTTTTCCCTGATTTTAAAGCATAAAAATAATATATTTTGATATAAATCATTATTAAGGACGAGATGTACTAATTTATGAAAGATTGAAGATAAGACTTCGACGGAAAAAAATTAAGAAAATAACTGTTATAATGAACAAAGATTGAAAAACTTGACTGTAATTAAAATGTGGTGTAAATATAATCACCATTTTTGTAGTAGTTATAAAAATTAGATATTATCTTCGTCCCACAAAAATAGACTTCCTTTTTTAATGTCTTAATTTTGTGATATACCTCAATCTCGAATATGTCTTGTTATTAACAAATATGAATTAACATTATTCAGTGTAATGGTATATTAAAAAAAATGTAAGAAAATTTTGTAGTTTTTAACATTTATTAATTAAATTTTCTTAGTTTCATGTAAAAACATAAATAAGTTTATCTTTATGGGAAGGAGCAAATACACACTTTTGTAAATTCCCAAAAAAAGTTTAAATTTTGCTATGGCCGGGTGCTGAGAAACCTGCTGTCAAAAATGGGTTTTGGCTATTGGAAATTTGTAGGGTTAATTGATAATAATTTTTATTCCGATTCAGAATCCAGTTTTTTCTTTTTTGTTGGTATTATGGTGGCCTCTTTTACCATTCTATTGAATTCACCGTCGTCGATTGAAATTGAACATTTTTCTATCTTTGTTCCGCAATGGCATTTAATACATCCTATTTTTAGGGGTGTGGGGGCGAGGCCAAGACCGGAGGCGCTGGGTTATTGTTTTCAGATATTTCTCATGCTCTAACTGAATTGTTGCTTTTTCTGTTCATTAAAAGGGTCAAACTTTTGCAAAAAAAGTACCATTCTTCAATTGTGAGGCGAATCGCCATTGAATTATTCAGCATCACATTTGCTTGCAGTTCATAGTAATAATATTTATTGCAGCTGGGGCTGTAGTGAAGTTCAGTTAGCTATTTCTGGATCTTTTTTATACCATTTCTTTTCCTGGGATTTTAGAGCATTGATCAGAATTCCTTTTTCCCAGTATTGAATTTAAGCAAGGTTAGATGCCGACTGATGAATCAAGTAGCTCTATGTGGAGTAGAGAGCAAGATAGGCAATTTGAGAAAGCACTGGCAACCTACCCCGAAGACTGTTCAGATAGATGGGAGAAAATCGCAGCCGATGTTCCGGGTAAATCCCTAGAAGAGGTTAAGCATCACCATGACCTTTTAGTTGATGATGTCGACCGGATTGAGTCGGGCTGTGTGCCGCTTCCTAGTTATAATTCTTCATCAGATGGTTCGACTAACCATGCCGGCGATGAAGAAACTGGTAAAAAGGGTGGCAGTTTTGGGCACTTGAATAGAGATTCCAATCATGGAGGCAAGGGTTCAAAGTCAGATCAGGAGCGCCGCAAAGGGATTGCTTGGACAGAGGAAGAGCACAGGTGAAGTATTGTTGAGTTCAATTTTATAATTACTCTAATCCTATGACAGAAATTTGAGTGATAAATGTATTCTAATTAACTTATGGATAGTATAATATCACTTTGATGCCGGTTAGCTCCTGTTAAAATGGGTACCCTCTCTCTCTCTCTCTCTCTCTCTCTTCTTTTCTTTTCCTTTTTTATGTAATGGAAACTCCAATCTAAGCTGCAACTTCATAAATTAATCTCTAATTGGTTTTCCTTCAGAAAATGTCAATTCTTATCATTAGTTCTTTTCACACAGCATTCAACTATTATGTTTGTAGAATATTAGGTGAGAAATTTTGCACATCCTAAAACATTTTGCCCTTGTGCTTCTTTGCATTCTTATCTTGCGAAGTTTTGAAGTCAATTCATAAACAAAATGCTTACTAGCTCATATAGTTTTTCATGTCCTGCTTGCATCTTAGAGCAAATAATCATTTTTAGACAATAGTAATCTGATTGATCAAGGTCTTCTCAATATTATCTGCGTCCTTGTACATGGTTGACGGGATTTTTTTCTTTTTTTGCTGTGCCTTCTGGACTTAGAATTTATATTTGAAGCGCGGCCTACATCTTCCTTTTGATTGGTGTCCTAGCTAGTTTTCTAGCTTTCAAGGTGGCTCTCTTTACCCAAATGTTTGTTCACAATGTGATTCACTACTAAGCTTCGTGTTATATTAGAGGAATGATGGAAAAATTGAATTCCAATATTTATATGACATCCTGTAGAGGAAAGGAACTGAATATAAATTTATTGAATTCACTGTGGAAGAATATGCCTATTTGTTCTCTATGAATACCACTCCAACAATTTCTGGTTGACGCCAAAACTTAATTACGATATAGTGGAAGTATCTTCTTGGTTTGCAAAAATTTAATCTGCATTTTATTATGCCTAATTAAAATATTCATAACCTATCAGCTCTTGAATCACTCACTCAAATATCGTAAATAGATTATTTAAATATTTATATCTTAGATGTGTTGCTTGTAGGAATGAGTTTCCATTTGCAACTTCTATTTAATATTCATTAAAGTTGAGAATGTAATTATGAGGAGAAAATTGTAACATGAATTCAATGCCTAGAGTAAATTTCACGATTTTATTCATATGAAATTTTTTGTATTGTCATTCAAATCAGATGTGTTCTTCAATGCGAAGGGACTTCGGAGTTAAGGTAAGTTATGTGCATAGATGAAATTCTTGCAAATGAACCTGGAACCCTAACATAATTTGGCAATACTGTTTTCTAAGAACAGAGCAAGGAATCAGTCCTGCACAGCATATTTTGGTGAAATTGCTGCTCTTCGATGTGGTTGAGTACAAAACTACTGTCATTTTAGGCAACTTTTCCAATAGTATCTGAAAGTTTAAGATTATGTGAACTCAATGAGGACCTTTTTGGCACAGTTTGAAGTAACACTTCGGCAGCTTCTCCATTGACAAGTATTCAAAAACATGCTTGGTCAAATAGGGATAATATGATGCCCTAACATAAGTGGGGTGTTTTGAGAAGTTCAAAATAACCAAAACAGCAATTTCTCTTAGATAATAGAATGAAAGCCTAAGAGCTATAGAAATACACAACTAGTTGAGCTCTAAGAACGTTTAAAATTAGGATTAGACACCTCTTCCATAATGGGTGGAATAGTCATTTTGTAACTGAAATATGACTTCTAATAAGCTCTTCAAAATTAAATTGAAGCCCTGTAACATGAATTTCTGAAGTTCCTAAAAGATGATAAATTGCTGATTGAATGATATTTTAACCCTCGACTCTGTTGAAGAAAACATTAAGCCCTCGTTTGTTTCTCATTTTTGAAAGAATAAGAATAAAAAATATAATCATCATGGGTCCCACATAAGAGATAGAAATTCAAATTTGGTGGCTTGATGTGATGGATAACGGTCATATTTTTCATTTTAATGAGGAAAGAATGGGAACCAAACAGGGTCTAAGATTCACAAAGGGACATTAAATTTTCGCAGCCTCGAATATTCTGAGGGCCTTCATATGACTTTGAATATTGCTTGAACCTTGTAAAGTCTTTTCCGTGCCTTCTTAGTATTTGAAAAAGCTCATTAGTACCGGGGGCAAGGCATAAGCCTTAAGACAACTGATACAATAATTCAAAAGAATATAAAAATACAACAATATGCTCATAATAAACTGTAAACCATCTTAAAAATCCATAGTATAATACATTGACAAAATTTGAAGTCTAACTTGCAAACATATATAAAATCAATACTAAAGTAGCAAATAATAAGTTACGAAAATTTTAGTCACATGACAAAATGCATTATGTTACAAGTAGAAACAACCCAGAAATCTCCTACTTCCTCACTAATAATATCTTTGGAGAAATTAATTTATTTAATTACCAATCACCCTCATCACTCTCATTTCTTCCTATTATTTGTTGTTAGCGATGTTATCTTCTCTTTACCCCTTCCCATCTATGTAAAGGCAGATAAAGAAAAACAAAAACCCAGTAAAACATTTCCCAAAAGCTAAAACCAGTAATAAAATGCTTAGAAAAGACTAGACAAATGAGCAAACACCTTAGTTGTCATGGCCTAACCTTGAGATATAAACCTCAAAAATGGTACTTGAGGCATTTAATGAAAGCCTTGCATGAGGCGAGACCTGAGGTGAAAGCCTCAAACCACACTTTTTAAACAATTTGTCTTCTAATTATAGTTGTTGAAATTTCCATGTGAATATTTCTCCATTACATTTTTTTTTTTTCCCAAAATAAACATAAGAGAAGGAAATTTCCATGTCAACAAATAGAAGGCAGAAATAAATAATTGATTTAGAGCTCTTACGTGGAAAACATGTTGAGAGAGTCAGAAAACTCTTAATCATACTTTAGTTTTCACTCGTTTACGATTTGAGAAGGTATCATCAAGTGACAAATATGGAAGAAATGGTTCTTTTCTCATTTTCCATTGTCATATTAAACACTATATTGGATGATACTTGATGTATTATGAAACATCTGAAGCAGGTAGACACTAACTAATGGATTCCCAAGTCTGATAGAGAAGTCTCTCAGCTTTAAGCCTCAAGTTTACTCTACACAATAATGTTTCATTCCATCCTTTTATGGTCGTAGATCCGGTTGCATGAATTCTCTTCTTCCACTTGACTATGAGGGTCTTTCCTACCGAGTTAAATTTTGGAAGTGGCTGGTTTTGGGATTACACGTAATTAGAAGAGATGTAGGGCCTATTTCTGCTCAATTCCACGCTGAAAGTAAATAAAAAACAAAGAACAGAAATAAAGAGCACATTCTTGACTCATATAGGATTTTAGGTAGAAGAGTTTTCACTTTTGTTTGTGTGGGAGGGGTTTAGGCAAGGTTGCCACACCAGGAAATAAAATATTCCAAAGTATTACCAAAGTTAGTGTTGACCACTTCATCTAAAATCTTAATTATTTCAATCTATCTACGACAGAAATCGGGGAGGAATCATGGAATTAATTTCTAATATTATTTTTTCAATCAATCACAAAATGAGGAAATTAATTCCCTGATTTATGTGATTGTCTAGGTCCTTTAAATTGTTTAATTGTGTAATTTAGTTTCCTTTATTAGATAGGATTGTACACTATACTGTTACTCTTTCAAGAAGATGAGTGAATGAAAATACTAATTTCAGGAGTTAGTATCATTACAAAGAATTGTCATACCAAATAAACTATTCTGCACAAGCATGGTTAAAGAGACAAGTCTCTAACCCAAAAATAAATGGATCTGCTTTGAAATTCTATCTAAAGACATGGTACTGAAAAGCCACACAATGGTGAATTAGGAAGCTCCCTTGGAATAACCTATTGGCTGATTGATTAAGACTTGACTCATTCAAGGAATAAAAGTGCCAAACATTATCCACAAGCCAACAGTGCATACAATAGTCCAAGTCACCAAGTTAAAAAGAACAGCCACCAGATAATTGATTATTTTCCTTCTTCTCCCCAAATGTGTTTGTGTGGTTGTCGGTGGGGGAGGGGGAGGGGGTAGAATTTTAACTAATGAAAACAAACCTATCAAACTTTAATACCAAATACCGTGTTCAATTACAAATATATGCATAAAAAGTGGGAAAAATTCATCTAGATTTCTACAGAACAAAATTAAAAGTGATGTTTCAGTTTCGAAGCATCTCAACAAGCTCATGGTTGATTATGGAAGCAAAAGCAAGGCAAAGAAATGACTTAGATTGAAAACGCATCATGTGAAACTAACTAGTGGCTGATCAGTTTGGAAGCAAAAGTTGGCTGAGAATAAATCAAGCACAGAAAAAGAAAAGGCTTGTTCTCGTTAACAAAGTATTTTATCTCTCTCTCTTTTGCTGCCTACCTTGAACTCTTTTCTAGTTTGTACTGAATCCTTCAGACGTATGTGAAACCTTAGTTTGAAATTGGTGCTCTCTACTTAATGGGTGATGGGGATGGGAGTAACCCTTTTCTGGTTTTTACTGAATCCTTCAGACGTATGCGAAACCTTAGTTTGAAGTTGGTGCTCTCTACTTAATGGGTGATGGGGATGGGAGTTGTTGCATTGACATAATGTTTGGAATTTTATGTTTTTACCTTGTCAGATTTATAAAGGTTCATTGCCTGAAAGCTTCTTTATTAGTTGTCTTTCAAACTGGCCATTCACAATTTTATGGCTGAAAGCTGTTGAGAAGGGAAAACAGGTAATCCTTTTCAAATGAATTATTGTTTGACGATTTCTTAAGAATTATTGTTGAAAGATTAAACGGTTTGGCTTGGCTACACAAGCGAATTTAATCTTTTTTTTTTCTTCCTGTGATTCCACAAAGACCTGCTCTTGACCACGCAAATCTATCTTGCATTTGAAAGATGGGAAGAATGAAAAGGGAATTAAAACATGTCTAGTGATATCCCAAATTACTGATTGTCTCTGCACTTCTGCTCTTTATATTCGTATACTTCATTCTACATCCTTGAATGACTTCTACTGATCTTCTGTGTATTTTAGAGCAGACAAAATATTGGATGCGTATGCTGTCAGAGAGATTTAAATACTCGGAGGAATTACTTATATTTTGTGCTATGGTGATTATACTAAAGGTGCTCTGATTGTTTGCCTATTTCTGTAATGGTTTCATATAATTATTTGAGACACAAATTAACAGCATTCTGTGTTTGCTTTTTGGTTACTTGTTTCTGACATTACATTTTGCTTTATCCTTGAGCATGACGTATATTTTCTATTGATTATTATAATTCAGGTTGTTTCTTCTTGGTTTGGATAAATATGGAAAAGGTGACTGGCGAAGCATTTCCCGGAACTTTGTGGTGACGAGAACTCCTACGCAAGTGGCGAGCCATGCCCAAAAATACTTCATCCGTTTGAACTCTATGAACAAAGATAGGAGGCGGTCGAGCATTCATGACATCACTAGTGTCAGCAGTGGAGAAGTTTCAGTGCCACAAGGTCCAATCACTGGCCAAACAAATGCTTCTGCTGTGGGAAGTTCCTCTGCCAAATCAAACCAACCACGTCCTCAAATCCCAGATGCTGCTCCTGGAGTTGGGATGTATGGAGGAGCACCAACTATTGGGCAACCAATAGGAGGACCCCTTGTTTCCGCAGTCGGCGTGCCAGTGAATGTTCCACCACCCTCTCACGTGGCATATGGTATCCGAGCTCCAATTCCAGGACCCGACCCTCAGACTGGCATGGGTCCTATGACTTATCCAATGCCACACACATCTGCGCATAGATGATTCAAGTATACAAGCAGAAGTATATGAATTGTACCCAACCTAGTTATTTCTCAGATGGGATTTTCTGACTCGTCTAAAATTGAGAAGGAATAATGTTCTCTGTTGTTGCAGAAAGATGTAGAATGAGGGTCATTTTGCATTCTTGTTATTAAATCTAAATAAGCCGTAGGGAAATCGATATTCATCTGTATAGACAATTGCAAAGATGTGGCGGCATTAGGTTCAGGAGAGCATTATGGCTTTATATAGTCTACCTAAAGTTTCAAAAGTATTACTAGTTCAGATCGTCGAAGATCAAGTAATGTTCATTATGGTGAATATCATCAACAGTTGGTTTTCTCCTGTCAATTTTTAGTAGAATGAACATCCAAGGAAATATTTAGCCAATATCCAAGAAAATATTCTGAGGGTGATGGATTTTTCTTGCCTTTTCATATCGTGGTTATCTAGTATTATTTTCTATCCCAAGCACATATCAGTCGCCTATAGTTGGGAAATCGAGGCCTTGGATTAATCTCGATTTAACCGAGGTTAAAAGATGAACGGCGACTGCGAACGTAAACATAAACCGAAGTTTCTTGTTTGAACGAAGTAGTGTTTCTCAAACGATGAGATAGGCAAAAAGGGTAAAGTTTAAATGATCTCGTTTTAGATTGTCAAGGTGTCCACGTGGGAACTCGGTCAGATGTTAACAGCAAATCAAGTATGTGCCGTCAATTGGAATGACCGTTATGAATTTGGGTGATTCGATTGAAACACTTTAAAGTTTATAATCCAATAAAATTTTCCCTTAGATACAAGGAGGATGCTATGCAATTACAGGCCTCAATAGAAACCTATTTTTTTGAAATTAATTGATTACATTCTCTTCAGAATTCTCAAAAAAGTACATTAAAATCTGCAGACACTTGGAACCCCAAAAAAAAAAAAAAAAAAAAAAAAAAAAAGAAGAAGAAAATTTACAGAATCACATGATACCAAATTTATTTCATCATTTCCATTTGTTAGCAACAATGTCAGCAAGATCAACCACCCTCTGTGAGTAACCCCACTCATTGTCATACCAAGCTATAACCTTAACCATGTCATCTCCCATCACCATTGTCAATGAAGAATCAACTGTTGATGAAACATCAGTGCACCTGAAGTCCACAGACACGAGTGGCTCGTCGCACACGGATAAGATACCGTTGAGTTCCTTATCAGCAGCCTCCCTGAATGCAGCATTCACTTCTTCGGCGAATGTCTTCTTCTCGACCTGGACGACGAGATCCACCACAGACACATTGGGCGTCGGGACACGAAGAGCAATGCCGTTCAGCTTTCCTTTGAGTTGTGGAAGGACGAGCGCCACAGCCTTTGCAGCACCAGTCGAGGTAGGAACAATGTTGAGGGCTGCAGCTCGTGCACGTCTAAGATCCCTGTGGCTCGCATCAAGAAGCCTCTGGTCTCCAGTGTAGGAGTGAGTAGTCGTCATTGTTCCCTTAATAATGCCTATGATATCAAAATTTATCAGCCTCGTCATATCAATCAATATGAGCAAATAAATAGTACGAACACTAAGCCCCTGTTTGATAACCGTCAAAACAAAATTCATATTCATTTTCAATCACACATTCTCACAATAAAATATTTTACTGTAAACCCATAACTTTTTCAAAAATTTTAGCCACGCATTCTCCAAAAAATTCAATATTCCTAAACTAATTTCCCCAACTCATTATAATGGTTATCAAACAGTTGCAAACTATACTGTCAAGTACTGCATGCGCGCGCGTTGTAGTGTTGCATTACCGAATTTCTGGTCGAGGACTTTGACGAAAGGTGCAAGGCAGTTGGTGGTGCAAGAAGCATTGCTGATAATAGGCTCATCATGGTTGTAATCACCAGCATTTACACCAACAACATAGGTAGGAATATCACCCTTTCCAGGAGCTGTGATGAGAACCTTCTTCGCCCCGGCTTGAATGTGTTTACCGGCACCCTCCCTGTCTACGAAAACTCCAGTACCTTCTATCACTAGATCAATCCCCAAATCTCTGGAAATGAAATTATTTGTTCAAAGAAAACAGCAATTATTAGGGCGGAAAATACATAGCTTTTGCTCGAGGAAGCAAAGTTTTCATGACTCCTGTAGATTATAGTTGCAGTATGATGAGGCTAAAAAGGGTGATTGAGATAAATACATCACAAGATAATATAGGCATGTTTAGTATGTAATACTGGACAAGGTTAGACTGTACAATAAAAACAGGCTTTTACTTTCTTTTTCTTGTCTATTACTTTCCAATATTATCTAGTCCTGAGCATGTATGAGAATGCAATGAAAAATATGTATATAAGAAGGAAGTATTACTTCCAGGGAAGGTTGACGGGGTTGCGGCTGGAGACGACTTTAACAATTTTGCCATCGACAGAAATGCCGTCATCGCCAACAGGTTTGACATCAGCTTCAAAGATACCCAGGGTGGAGTCATATTTGAGAAGGTGAGAGGCTTGCTTGACACCACCAGTGTCGTTGAGAGCGATGATGTCAAGAGGGGAATCCTTCCTTCCATGCCAGCATCTCAAGAAGTTCCTTCCAATTCTTCCAAAACCATTAATTGCCACCTTCAGCTTGGCCTCGACTACTCCTCTCTTGTTCTTGTCTCCACCAACCTGAACAAAAAATACCAAAACCGAACAAGCAGATGTTAGCACTCAAAATGAAATTTCAAATTTACTACCAGCTTTATGATCACTTTAATTCCAACTTATAAGTTCCTTTAATGATTTAAAAACCAGAACCATATACCATTTAGATGTTCAATAAGGCTCATTCTACACTTGAATTGGTAGGTTACGAGTAAACAGTGTTCAAAGATATGGTACAACCCCCATTGTGTACATTATCCCCTAAGTTGTGCATGTAATTGTTCAGTAAAGTCATCTCTTTCATAATCAAAACACTTGTTTTGTTCTGATGCCTGGCATTACTTGATTGCTTAGCATTTTAATCTTCATTATTCTTCTTATTTTAAGCTTGGCACTGATTAACCTATTTAATTGAAGATATAAGTTCGACAACAACACAACAAACTAAGATGTGTTTCCAATAAATTTGGGCCAAATGTGTGAATCCTTTTTGGCCATTCCATTCCGTTTATTGTAGATCTATATCAAAACAACTGAACTTTTAGAATCATGACTGGGCTTATAAATATGTGAAGAATTCGAGCATGGTTGGATAAGCTTTAAAAAATTTAGAACGAACTTTTACACAACTATTTTTTTCAAGCATATTTGAATGAGTTACTTTTAAGGAAAAAAGGGGTTACATTAAATAAATAAGTAATTTATTTTCAACTTTGACTAATAAAAATTATTTATTCTAAAACTTATTTATTTACTCTTTAGTCATGAATTTCACTAAAATAGTTCAGTCAAAGTACTGTACTGTACAAGAAAGTTTAGCCGGATTAAAGCCAAAGCACCTGTCTCGAGGCTAACAATGTTTAACTACACAATTCTACGTGGTGAATCGCAAGGAATAATAGTATTCATAGTAGTTCACTATCGATAATTACCCTACATGGCAGTTTGTTATTTGAAAATTAACTTTTTATTTTAGGCAATGAAATTACAAGAAATTATTGCCTCGAATAATAAATTGTTACTTTGGGCCGACTATCTGTAATGAGCGATTATGAATGCAATTACTCTTGTACAAAAAGTTGTAAAATCTATTAACAAGACTAGCTGCTACGAAATCTTGCTTAATTCCACGATACTCACAACAGAGGTCTGGAAGGCAATAACAGAGAGCAAATCATCATTTGTCTTCCTTGCGAATGGAAGAGAGGAAGACGAACTGCGAAGCCCAGCAAAGTCGGAGAATCCCTTGCTCCCAACCTGCAAACGTTATTGCACCAAATAGCTTAGAACACATGCAGATGATGAATGAATTATACTTTATATATATGGTTGTTCAGTGTGTAACCTGGAGAGTTGAATTGGCTACAGAAAGAGCAGCCGAAGCCATGACTGCAAATGGCACCAAAACAATGCAGAAGCAGCACGAGTAAGTAGCAAAGAAGAGAGTGAAATGGGATAAAAATGGGTGATGGATGGTGTGTTTAAGTTTGAATTCTAATGGTGTAAGATGAAGAGAAAGAGAAGTGGATCAGATTATTAATGATAGAAATAGAATGGCCTCTCACTCAATGTATGGCTGTGGTTGTAAATGTCTGTTTGTAACTCTATTCCTCCTCATGACTATATTTTCCTTTTATTTATTTATTTAAATCCACCATATTTATCAGAAATGCCAACATGTCAATGAAACTCTTTTCTATAGGTTGGATATTGTTGGGGAATCTCGTCTATATCCACTGAGTGCCACATGGTCGGAAATGTGTGTTGTCCTATATATTCTTGCAGTGATTTGGCATTTGAGGTTAATGTATGTCTTTCATATAGATCACAAGATATACCTATGAATAGTGAAAGCAAATTTGTGGCTTCAAAAATTTTCATGATTTGGGTACATTAGAGTTTATGATTGGGAATAGAGGTATCAAAATTAATCTACGGTGTCATCCAGGCTTGGCAAGGGTCCGTGGTGCCACGGACCTAATTTTGTTGCGCTGTTTTGCGGTCGCTATCGGGACGGATCGACTGCAACCTGAGGGACGTAAGTTTGGGCTTTCTTAGAGCACCAACCATTGAAAATACTCTTAACACCAAATTTTGTGTAAATTTGGTGTACCTTTGGAGATTGTCTAATACAGACCCATAAGGCTTTACCATAAGGTTGGATTGAGTTCGACTGTAAGGTTCAGGGATCGCTTGTGCTCACTTGACTTAAAGTGGGTTTGTATTAAAATAATTTTCTTTCTTTTCAAATAAATTACAATTCATTTATTTTAAAATAAAAGATAAGCAATAAAGTCTAGCATATGATCATGTCCAGACCCACTTTAAGTCAAGTGATGACTCAAAATCGAGTATGTAGAACCAAGAAATATTAAGTTCTGGATGCCTAAAAAAGGAGATATGCGTACAAAGGTTGAACTGCCTTCAAAACGAATTTGTGATTCGCACATCATATTATTTATAATCGACAGCGAAGTATATCCTTTCAAAATTCATAGAATAAGCAACATAATTTAAAATATATTGGATGCTATACACAAGAATGGAAAGTTATTGAAGGCAAAGATGAACTCATAATAAATCAAGCAGACATAAAGAAAATACTTTATTTACTTGAACAAATAATATTTCTCTTGGAGTTATTTTCCTCACAATTGCATATTGAATGTCCTAATATATCTTAAGGAGCATTTTGCTAAATATATGTACATGTATTCTATATATTTGATACGTTTTTATGAATTCTATTAGTACATTGGCTCATGAATGAGCTGGGAATTAAAAGGTCAGTGACAAATGCTGCAGATAATCCTACAAAGTCCTTTTGTTTTCTTCTTCAAAAAAAAAAACAAGACATCTTACTCTCACAAAAATGAAGTGCGTTAACATTAAAAGGCCCGTATCTATAATAATGATTTAAGGCCCAGGATAAATTACTTAGTTTTTGAGACCCCCGAGCTCTCTTATTGAATTGCTCATTCAATGAGCAAATTGCCGATAATTCCCTTTTTATGAAATCTTTAATTGCCCAAACGTTATGAATCCATAATTTTCCCGTTAAAGGACTCCTCTAGAGCTTAGAGAAATGATAAAATGATCCCTAAATATGATCAGTGCAGTCCTGCAAAAAGAAGGGGCGTGTACCTTGGCTCGATTGCCCACCGATATAAGAGTCTCTTAATAAAAATAAAAAGTATTAATGTAAAATAGGCTAAGTCGATAGATCTATAATTTCATCATTGTTATAGTTCTATGATCCAACCTAGACATCGACCTAATCAAGGTATTGATTCATCGAATCAATGATGGAATTGATGGGTCACTAGTCGGATCAGTGGATCATTGTTGAAACAATTTTATTGTATAAAAATTTTCTTTGAGGTGAAACGAAAAATTTTAATTTTTTTTTTGTTAATAAATTTTTAATGTTATATATGAAGATTATTGATATTATAAATTATAGGGAAAATTGCAGCAGCAATTTCAAATCTTTGAATTTTATGCAGATTTTATCTTAACTTTTAGTTTGTGCGACGAACGATTCCAAACCTTTGAAAAATTAGCACCTGGAGTCCGAATGGATGGAAATCGTCCATTTGACTATTAGTTTACCATGAAAATAAAAAATTGACCAATGTTGACCAAATTGAAAATGGTAAAATGGTACATTTACATTTTCTCAAATATTAACAATTAAAATAATTAAACTAAAAAACAAAAACAAAAAAATCAACCCCCACCTAAACACAAACCTAGCCCTACCTTCATATTCTCCAAACCCTCAACACACCTCCACCCAAACCCCAAAAGAAGAAAAGAATCTGCTAGTCAAAAAATTCCCTTCAATTTTCGAACAGAATAGCACACGTAAAACTAGAACCTCTGCTATGAGCCCCCCGGGGCACATCCAAGTTGACGGAACAATCACATCGGGGGCTCTGGAACCAAGCGTGGGGAGTTCGATTCCTGGTGGGAACCTTTGATTCAATAAAGGAGGAATTATTGGTGGATTAATCACTATGGAGGAAGGCTCCCTTTGGGGAAGGAGTAAAAGCCGTGTGGGAATCTAGGAACCAACAAGGGCACATCCCGCGATTTACCTCCCTAAGCTGCTGAGGGGCCGGAGGTTCAGGGACGAGGATATAGTCTGGC